ATGACCGAAACACACTCACACACTCACTAACATGTATCAGAGTGACAGTAAATACTTTCACGATTTGTGAGCGTTAGAGTGGGCGTGGCTCCGTTAAACTTGTGCTGCGTAGGAACTACTAAAATCTGCATAAAAACCCCCAAATCTCTAGCTTTTATAGTTTCCGAGATCTCAACGTCCATACAGAGGGACAAACCGACGGACATGGTTAGATCGACCCGACAATTGATCTTGATCAAGAATATATATTTGATATGGTCGGAAATGCTTCCTTCAACGTATTACATACTTTTCAACGATTACAATATTAACTCTACGAACAGCGGGTATAACAACTTGTAAAAAAATCAAAACCTTTTTTTTTGAATTAATAATAAAAAGAGACTAGATTTCATTTTTAATTCAAGTTAAGTTAAAGTTAAGTTAAGCTAGTTTATTGATCAAAGTTTCTCACACCTTGGTTTTGTAATCAATTTAATCAATAATGAAAAGACTTTTTTAAACACATTCTCGAAATAATTATAATTAAAATATCTTTATTAATGTATTTTTCTTTCTTTTCTTTGCAGTTTCACCTTGCACTTGTTAACCATTATTTGTTGTTGTTTATGTTTGTTGCTGTTGTTTAATGTTTAGCCAAAACTATGGAAACCATAAGAACAGAACTACTCCTGAGAATAAAAAAAAATTGTGCCATGTCTGTGGCTTAAAACAAAAATTAAAACCATATAGAAAGGAATTGCACACCCCATAGCTGAAGAAAATACCTCAAAGTCCCAGAATCTCTAACTGTCTTTTTTCTTATCTTTGCTTTCTTAATAGTATAAAGTTTATACATTTGCCTTTGATAGACTGACTTATTAACCACTTTCCTAGAGTTCCTTTCGATCACCCTCTACTAAAACAGTATTTTCCATATTTTTTCATTTTCTACCATTTTCCCCACAAACACACCCGAAAAAACGCTCGAAAAGAAAAAGACTACAAACGCGAAAATTCTAAATATTTTCTATTAAATTGCAAATATGTGTGAATTTTTGCTTATAACGATTCTAACAGCAAATAAAGTCATAAATATATGTATTCATTTAATATGTAAGTCTGTTTTGTATATGTGTATATATACATATATATAAACCATGATTTTGCATAAATTATTTTATAGGAAACAAAAAAACGTTTTGAATTCACAAAAAATGTTAGCGGAACTGCTGTTAATTTTATTTAATGTATAATAAAATATATAATGTAAGCCTAAAAGTATGCATGATCAATAAAATATAAATAAAACCATACTAACAGTCTGTCTATTATTTTGGGACCCTTTGTCACTGTGGTCGGTCATGTATGGGAGCCGCGGCCATAACTACTTCTAGAGGGGCTGTCGCTTTGAAACTTGTTCCAAAAATCTAGAAAAATGTTAGAATTGGTCAGATCGTACCAATATATCCTATAGCTTCCATAGGAACAATCGGGAAAAAAATGAACAAAATTATAACTTTTTTGATTTTTAAATTTTGTGTTTAGTTCTTTAAGATTTAGTAATAGTTTAATATTCCCGAGTTTCGGTTTAAATATTATTGAAATCGGACAACTATATCATATAGCTTTCATTGATACAACACAAAACAAAACGCAAACGTGAAAATTGGCACTCCTAAGGAAATATTAAGCTATTATTTTAAAGAAAAGAATATAGACACAAAACATAACACAAAAATAACAACAAACGACAATACAAACCAACAAACGGCAATAAACTACAAAAAACAGCAGAAGCACGTTTTTTTTTTTTGAGGTTAGGTTACCTTTTTCTATAATTGCAAGTCGTTCGGCAACTTTTGGCACTTTAATTAAACATTCTTATATTCTTAAAATGCTTAAGAATATTATACAAAAAGATTTGTTTGTGCCAAAGAATGCCATCACAACTAAGACTCAAACACAGAAAAGACAAACCAAGAAAGCTCACAATTATGTGTTGAATACAATATTGATTTCCACAAAACACAACACATACTACATATGCTTTTTGTTGTAAAATAGAAATTAATACCTTTATTTATAATATCAATCACTTTCATTGCACTAAAACTTGTTTTTAATAAGCTTAAAAAAATTTTTAGGAAGAGCTTCCCTTGCACGTTGCTTACGCTGAAATACCCAATGAATATCATGCTCTCGCTTTCGATGCTATTCTTGAAGAGGACAGATACAGCAAAACAAAAAATGGATAAATTCAAATAGCTAGACTAATTATAAATAAGAATTTGTGCATTTAAAATTAAATTTTTGACTTTGATTATTTTATTTATGGCCTATGGAACCGACTACTGTGCTTTGGTTTGAAAAATATAATTAGAAGAAATATACGCGTACTCCATTTGTATACCGTTACAGAGGGAACTATAATTTCAGTAAACAGATTGGGATAAACTTCCTGCCAAATAACGGCAAAAATAACGGTTTTTAAAAATAAATTGTTATTTTTCCCGCATATTCATATTGCACTACGAAAACGCGTATATATCGATAACATTCACGAGCGCGATAATATATCGATACACGTCGAGCAAGCCTTATTTTTTTAGTTTAAATAAATTATATTTCCTTTTGCCCTATTCAGACAGGCGTCTTTTCTGCTTCAGCGAATAAATTCAGCTATAATAGCGTATTTCCACAGAAATCCATCCACCTTCAACCATCCGTTGATCCATAAGGTCCATAAGGTTTGGCCGTTACTACGGTGCAACCCTCTTTCCACGCAGTCCATTCCTGAAAAACCGTTGGGATTTTTAAAAAACTCCTGTTTCCATAGAGATTTTCGACAAATTGCTAAAGCCTAGTACTCAGATCGACGAAAACCGTTGGAAATGGAGGGAAAAACGACAACAAAAAACGAAAAAGCCGGGTATCTGCCACCATTCCAATTCCAAATTTAACTCTTGCGTTAGGCCCAGCTGATTGACAGTATGACCGAAACACACGAACTCGGCTGAACTCTGAAAACATCGGTCTCACTGGAAAGATTATAGTTTTTTCACTGGCGAAACTATTGGTCGATCTGAGTACTACGTTTAAGAAATATCAGTACTACAATGCTGTATAAAAAAGTTAGCGACAAAAGTAGGTAACAGTGGCTGCATACAGCCGCCAGCATAGAAACGCACAAGATTTTATCAAAAACTGTGGGTTTTTTCATGAAACTGGGCCCACGCTTACTTAAATGGTATACCCGGTATAGCTGCACAAATTCTTAATATTCTGCAATTTGCAATTTGAGTTTTGCTAAGTTTTTGCTAGTTTTTTGTCTAGAGCGTACCTGTTTGTTAACCACTGTTAAGCTATTTTCTCTAAAACACAGTTTTTCTTATTAAAGTTTTTGGTCATTAATCTTAAAATAGAGCTGTATTTTGTGATATATGCACACAAATTGTTTAAGACGAGTTTTTAAAAAAAAAAAGATTTGGGACAACTTTTCAAATGCATTTTTCCTATACTTGTTAGATATAATATTGTTTGAATAGAAGTTTAGACGATTCTTTATTATTTTTTTAATATGTCTGCAGTTTAATTTTTTCAAATTGACCTCGTAATTGCGAAAATATTTAAAAATAAAAAACGCTTCCTTGTTCCAATTTCCACGATTCCGCTTCCGTCGCTGACCGACCGTTGCTAATTTGACGCACATCTCAATTGTCTGTTGCTGTAAATACGGTTTGATTCAGTATTTAGAGGAATTTTACTTGAACAAATTCCAATTCGACAATATGAAAGACTAGGAAGGCTTACATTCTTCACGCTAAATGTAATAGCCGGATTCCAACGGCGCATTAAAACGCATTTAGCCTATTGCGCATATATTTACACAGGGAATCTCATAAGGCTACATTCCGCATTCAAAATAAATGCGATAAAATAATGCAATTCAAATCATTCGTTTAAAAAAAAAAAAAAAACAGAAAATACCGATATTTAACAATATTTCGTTAGTGCCACAACTACAACACCTGTGTTTTATATGCAAGGTTGGCGCAATTTTTGATCTTATGAAATTAAAATCTATTTTGCATAAAAATTACTGAAAACAAGAGCAAACCCTGCAAATCCTGGTCGCAGTACCACGATGCATTACTGCTAGACTTATGATAGAAAAAAGATGACAAATATCCTGGGAACCTTGCTCATTTTTAGAAACTAAGGTCTCCTTTGCAAACCCGTCAAACAACACCATCAGCTCATCTTTCTTGTCGACAAAGTTGGCAAATGCCTCGATAACATTATGAATCCGTATGGATTTCCGTAAATTTGCTCAAATTTATGATTTTAAAATAATTTCGTTTTGTTTTCCGACAATTCAAAATAAATCAAACCCAAATCAGCTGTTCGTGCCACTCACATGTCGGAGTAGCGTTAGCTAAGTGCTAATGCGCCAATGGAATCAGGCACATTAAAAAGTCCACTAATAGCCTCTTTTCGCAGAGATCCATCCACGTTCCACCATCCGTTGAACGCTAGGTACACAATGTCCAATTCAGGGTAGAGTTTTTTTTTGGGCGAAGAAAATTCACATTACCACCGTATTACCGTCATCGTCTTCAACCGTCTTTGTCTATGTTTTGATGAGCAACAGCTGTTCAGATTAGCCGAAATCGGAAGGTGGATGTGCTCTGTGGAATTCAGAGTTTCACACTTGTCAAAAATTTCAACTGTTTCCAACGGATAGACTGTGCGGAAATTGAATCAGTGTATATATATGCAAGCGAGATTTGTTCTTGAATTTGTTTTGTTTTCTTTATTTTTTATGAATTGTTCATTTCTATATACAAACACAAAACAGACAGGCATGTTCTTTATGTGTAAACGAAAGTCATAAATTTAAATGAAACATCGGTAGAAAACTCGGATTAGTGTGCCTAAGCTATTACATTCTTCTTCTTCTGCCTATATCGATATTTCATGGCCGTCGTTGCTCATCGCTGTGTTGTTGTCAACATATTCCCGCCATTGGCGCTTCAATCAGTCTCCAGCCCTGGACATAAATGAAAAGAATCTGCAGCACAACAAAGGGAAATTAATCAGCGTTATCCAGTTCCAATGTCCGAATCACCTTGTAAGTAAGTTAGTTGGCCAATATACACCGTATTTACTTGGACAATCTGTTTCCAGCTGGTCCCCGCTCCAAGCGCCAAAAAATAGACAAAAATGGTCGGTTCGCGGCAATGGAGCGCCTTCGCCAGCTGAAGGGGACCAAGAACAAATGCCAGGTGGAAGACCATGTGGACGATGTTTACGATGTAGTGGATGAGCGGGAGTACGCCAAGCGGGCGCAGGAGAAGTACGGCGACGATTGGATCGAGGAGGGTGAGTAATAGCCTTCGGAAACATCCCGTAAAATGTTGATGGGAATAATTGAGACTGCCTTTAAACATCGAAGTGAGCAGTTTATGAACAAATAACACATACTTTTTACCGTTTTTTTTATCAATTTTAATTATTCAAATTATAGCCAGTTTATGTTCAATTTAAGTGGTTACATTAATGATATTTTTATTCAATTACTCGAAAATGTAACTATTATTATCCGTATTATTGCTGAGTATATATTCTTACCCGTTACAACAAGTCACATTTGTCATTGCAAAAATATATATTATTCTTAAGTATAATATTCTTCTTAATGCATATAAGTTGTTGTTATTTTTTCATTTTCTATGCCCATAAGTCGTAGTGTAAACGGGCTTACCGTATTCGTTAGAAAGTATATAACTGGTAAAAGGAAGCGTTTCAGGCTCCCTTAGGGTTTGCATATTCTTGATCAGGATTAGTAGCCGAGTCCATCTGTCCGTCCTTATGATCGTCGAGAACTCGGAAACTATAAAAGAAGGAGATCTTTATGGTCATTAGATAGGACCTTTGTGGTCGCTGATGTAGAAATTGTGACGGTGCTACTCGCTCTTAGCTTCTGGTATTGGCAATGCAGTTTGACAGGAGACGCACCTAAACACTCGAATGTTTTGCTGGGCAATATTTAAATTGAAATTTGTCAGCTGAGTTGCAGGTATCTAATGACTATTATAGCGTTCTTTCTTGTTTCCTATTCTCCCTATTGAAGCTACATATATGATATAGACGTCCGATCTGTCCCGTTCTAGTTAACTGCTTACTTAAAAATGAAGCTTATGAAATAACTCTTATAACGTAACACTCTTCTCCTACACCGTGTTTTAAGATCCTTTCCATTTGGATGCTTTAATGACTTTACAGTCATCTTCGATTGTTGAAATTAAATTTTGATATTTTAATATAGTATATATTAAAGTAATTCGAAATGTTTTATTAAAAAAAAAACTTTTCAATGTCATGTTAAGCTAAAGATGTTTGGTTAAAATTATATTTTTTGAAATTCTACAGTTAAATTAAGTTTTTCTGACTTTTAAGATGGCACTGGCTATGCAGAAGATCATCGGGATTTCTTTGAGGATGAAGATGAGTTCTCCGATAATGAAGAGGAACCAAAGGATAGAACAAAGAAGAAGGGCGTGGCACCCAACAGCAAAAAAAGACCACGGGAAGCTGAAAAACCTGCCAAAGGAAAAGCCTCTATCAAGAATCTCTTTAGCACTGCTGTGCCCAAAAAGCCAGACATCAAAAACAGTGTGAAAGATGATGATATCCTGGCTGATATTTTGGGAGAAATGAAAGAAGAGCCTGCAGAGACGACTGGAAAAGTGGAGAATGTTATAGCGCCGGCGAAAATAGCAGTTGCCTCGCGAAAATCCGACGCCGCCGCTGCTAAGGAATACATGAACAGTTTCCTTAAAAACATCAAAGTTCAGGAGCAGGAGCGCAAGAAGGCGGAGGCTAGTAGTGATAACGAGATGCTGGAGCGTATTTTGAAACCCAAGGCAGCAGTACCGAACACAAAGGTGGCCTTTTTCTCCACTCCCTCAATCAAAAAGGAACCACTGCCCGAAACAAACCCAGTCAATGAAGGACCGAAAGATCCTTTTTCCGATAATATGGATTTCAGTTGCCTGGATGACGACGAAAACCAGTTCGATGTCGAGAAGGAGCAGCCTAAGGAGGAGATTTTCCAAACAAAAACAGAAGGGAAGGAGACATACCAAGCTAAAGTCGCCGAAAAAGTAACTCCCAAAGCGGAGCTAATTGGATCTCCAAAGGAAAGTGAACCCGAAGAAATTAGCAAGCTTCTAAACAACTGGGAGTCCATCTGTCAGATGGACGATGACTTTGAGAAGTCCGTGCTCACTGCAGATCAGGAATCGCCAATCTCTTCCGATGAACAGCTGCGCTTCTGGTACTGGGAGGCCTGGGAGGATCCAATTAAGCTGCCCGGCGAGGTCTTCCTCTTCGGCCGCACCGCTGACGGAAAGTCTGTCTGTGTGCGTGTGCAGAATATCAACCGAGTGCTCTACCTTCTACCCCGTCAATATGTAAGTAATGTTCTGTTATTCAACAATATTTTAAATGTAACAAATGTGCAATTTAGATTTTGAAAAAAACGTTTTTTGAAACAAGAAAATCAAAATGCAAAATATTTAAATTTTTTAATCTAAAATTTTAACACTTTTAAACTCTGTTGTTTCAAATTATATTTTCTTTGCAAATAAAAAAGCTTTTTTTATTTTGGAAAGAGCTTTAAAGTTTTTTGATACCAGAAGGTATCATAATTTAAAAAAAAATTTAAGAAAATTAACAAAATTCTGAGTTATAACTTTTTATCTTTTTTTTTTTTTAGATATATTGTATATTATATATATTGTTGAACGTTTATGCACTATAAACAGTACAAGCAAATTTATGATTTATCAAAATCCCTGCTTAAATTGAACAATCAGAATATATATAAAAAAGAATAAAAGATAACTAATTTTAACTTTTCCAATTTTCAATTTTTTTTTAATTCTTTTGGACACAGTAATGGTTTTAATTTTATTCAAATCGGAAAACGATATCATATAGCTGCCGAACGATCGAATAATAACATATAAACTTCGGCTTGCCAAAGTTTTCGTTGTTCATTGTTCAAAACTATGTAGAATGTTTCCTATTAATTCTTTTTATAACTTTTACAGCTGTTGGACCCCATTTCAAAGGAGCCGACCAAGCAGAAGGTTACTGTGGCTGATATCTACAAGGAGTTTGACAGCGAGGTGGCCAGCGAACTTAAGTTGGAATCTTTTCGATCCCGCAAGGTCAGCAAGAGTTTCGCCCACCACGCCATCGGTATTGAAGTGCCCCAAACTTGCGATTACTTGGAGGTTCACTACGATGGTAAGAAACCACCTCCCAATGTGTCGGCTAGCAAAAAGTACAACTCCATAGCTCATATTTTCGGCTCCACCACCAATGCATTGGAGCGCTTTCTGCTCGAACGCAAAATCAAGGGTCCTTGCTGGCTGCAGGTTAGTGGATTTAAGGTGAGCCCAGCTCCCATGAGTTGGTGTAAAACGGAGGTAACCTTGTCAGAACCCAAGAATGTGGAATTATTGCAAGATAAGGGCAAACCGGCACCACCACCTCCTCTTACTCTTCTCGCACTTAATGTCCGTACTTCGATGAATCCCAAAACATCAAGAAATGAAATATGCATGATTTCCATGCTGACCCACAATCGTTTCCATATCGATCGTCCTGCTCCACAGCCCGCTTTCAATCGTCATATGTGTGCTCTAACCCGCCCAGCGGTTGTTAGTTGGCCTTTGGATTTGAATTCCGAGGTAACTAAATATAAATCCACCAAAATATACAAGCACGATTCAGAGAGAGCCCTCTTAAGTTGGTTTTTGGCTCAGTACCAACAAATAGATGCGGATCTTATAGTAACCTTTGATGCAATGGATTGCCAACTGAATGTTATTACCGACCAAATTATGGCTTTGAAAATACCCCAATGGTCAAGAATGGGTCGCCTTAGGATGACGCAATCGTTTGGCAAGCGTTTACTGGACCACTTTGTGGGCAGAATTGTCTGTGATGTAAAGCGTTCCGCGGAGGAGTGTATAAGAGCCAGATCCTATGATCTTCAAACGTTATGCAAGCAAGTTCTGAAGTTAAACGAATCCGAGAGAATGGACGTGAATGCCGATGATCTTCTAGAGATGTACGAAAAAGGAGAGAGCATCACCAAGCTTGTATCCCTCACAATGCAGGACAATTCCTATTTACTAAGGCTGATGTGCGAGCTTAACATCATGCCGTTGGCCATGCAAATCACCAATATTTGTGGCAACACGATGACAAGGACTCTTCAAGGAGGTCGTTCCGAACGGAATGAGTTCTTGCTGCTGCATGCTTTTCATGAGAAGAACTATATAGTGCCGGATAAGAAGCCGCAATCAAAACGTGGTGGAGCTGGAGATCCGGAGGCTACACTTCTTGGTGCAGATGCCACTTTGGGTGCAAAAAAAAAAGCGGCTTATGCTGGCGGCTTGGTTTTGGAACCAATGAGAGGTCTCTATGAAAAGTTTGTTTTGCTTATGGACTTCAACTCCCTGTATCCAAGTATAATTCAAGAGTACAACATTTGCTTCACCACTGTTCAACAGCCCGTTGATATGGATGAGTTGCCCACTCTGCCTAATTCCAAAACTGAAGCTGGAATCTTACCCCTACAACTAAAACGTTTGGTCGAGTCGCGAAAGGAGGTTAAAAAGCTAATGGCAACGCCCGATCTCTCGCCGGAACTTCAGATGCAGTACCATATTCGACAGATGGCTCTGAAACTCACAGCCAACTCCATGTATGGTTGCTTGGGCTTTGCACATTCCCGATTTTATGCCCAGCATTTGGCTGCTTTGGTTACCCACAAGGGCAGAGAAATCCTCACAAACACCCAACAATTAGTCCAAAAGTTGAATTACGACGTGGTTTACGGTGACACAGATTCCCTGATGATTAATACCAATATAACAGACTACGATCAGGTCTTCAAAATTGGTCACAGCATCAAGCAAAGTGTGAATAAATTGTACAAGCAGCTAGAGCTGGACATTGATGGAGTCTTTGCCTGTCTGCTGTTGCTTAAGAAGAAGAAATATGCTGCTGTTAAGTTAAGCAAGGATTCCAAGGGTAATTTGAAGCGGGAACAGGAACACAAGGGCCTCGATATAGTTCGACGAGATTGGTCTCAACTGGCTGTGATGGTGGGAAAAGCTGTTCTCGATGAAGTGCTGTCTGAAAAACAGCTGGAAGAAAAATTAGATGCAGTGCATGCCCAACTGGAAAAGATCAAAAATCAAATTAGGGAGGGTGCAGTACCTCTGCCACTTTTTGTAATCACCAAGCAGCTTACTCGGGCACCCCAGGAATACGCCAACAGTGCTTCGCTACCGCATGTCCAGGTGGCTCTTCGTATGAATCGAGAGCGCAACAGACGGTACAAGAAGGGTGACATGGTTGACTATGTAATCTGCTTGGATGGGTCCACAAACGCTGCCATGCAGCGAGCCTACCATTTGGATGAGCTTAAGAGCAGTGAGGATAAAAAGCTCCAGCTGGACATGAACTACTACCTTGGACATCAGATACACCCGGTAGTCACGCGGATGGTAGAGGTGCTTGAAGGAACCGATGCGAGTCGCATCGCCGAATGCCTTGGCATGGATCCCACCAAGTTCCGACAAAATGCACAGCGGTAAGTTTATTTACATTCTTGCAGAGGGCTAAAAGTTTTCATCGCACAAAAGGATACAATTCAAATCCGTAGTAAATATATATTTCTGATTACCATCAACAGGCGAGTTAATTTCGGCTGTCCGTCCATTTCTACGCAAACTAGTAGTCCCTCGGTTTTAAAGCTTTCTAGATGAAACTGTTTAAAAAAGACATTTTTGTATTGCAAGTATATATGTTAAAATTGGTCTGAACGCACGAAAAATAATATAAAAAAAAGAGGGAAAGCTGTTGTCGAATGTTCCGACCATTAAATACCCTACACTCTGCTAACCAATTTCAATATATTGTTTTTTTTGTGACCTTTAAAAAACTGGATGTCATTTTTAGCGTTGGTAATCGTAACTATAACACAACTTTTTAAGTTTTCATCACACTAAATAAATATGCTACCAGAAAATAGTCGTGCTTTAGGTGCCAACTGCCGAACTTTAGAGTCACATTTATGCTCACATTATGCTTCTCAAATAATGGTTCGATTTGAAAATGGATTTTTGTTTGAGTCTAAAGATATTGACGGAATAAACACATACAGTTTAATAACTGGCATCTATCACGATTCAGAGTGAATGACAGAGATTCGCAAATTTTTAAAATCTGCATCTTAAATCACAAATATCTGTCTTATTTAGTATCATACGGACAGACGGACAGAAAGGCAGGCTGGCAGACAGACAGACATGGCTGGATCTACTCGGCTGTTGATTCTGATGATATTTTTTATATTCTTTGTAGGGTAGGAGTAGGGTAGGAGTAGGTTAGGGGTTTTCTTCTACCTGTTGCATACTTTTCAACAAATACAATATACCCATTTAATAAACTTATAACTTATTATGCTAAAGACTTGAAAACGAACAGGAAATTCAAAACAACTTCGTTGTTATACATCAATCGTCAGAAGAAGAATTAGCACAAAGAGTATACGGTGGCTCTATTTAAAGCCATTACGAGGCCACATCTTATCTAAAGTTTGTCCTTTTTATCATTATCCTTCAATAAACATATATTTTTTATAATAAATAAACGCTTTCCAAAATATAGTAAGCGCACATAAAACAATTTTAGTTGCAACTTTTAATAAAATTTTATATTAGTATTTTATTTATATGTCTGAGAAAATTTGGCTGGCCAAACATTTCACAAAATTTAATTACTATACAGTGGATAAAAATTTGGTTAACCTAAAGAATAAAAAATATTTTGTAATTTTTAGGTAGAGCATTACAAGGATCTTAAAAAGTTCCTGCAATATCTATCAGCCTTAAAATGTATCTGGGAAAAAAAAGAATGTGTCATTAAAAGGTCTGTTTATTTTGCTATAACATTGCCATATAAAATGTTGTTGATTGCAAATATATTTAGAGAGCTTTATTATACAATGAAAATATTAACCAATTTGAAAGAAAAACTCGACAGTTTTTTCTGAACTTAAAAGTTAATTCCTAAATATGTAAACAAGTTCTTGACTAACAACACATAGAGTACTGATATCCGTACTTTATTTTCTCGTCCTGTTAGATTCACTCATTCCTTAATTTCTTGCTGTTGTGTATCAAATTTATGGCTAACCACATGTTTGGGTTAAACAATAAAATATAAACGCGACCGATTTACAATAAATTTGAAACTTAGAATCTGTGTATTTCAAAAATAAAGGTTAAGTTAAAATACTTTATGGTAAGTTAGGCATAAATTTTAAAACTTGGTCAAAATCCGTTTTCAAATACAACTTTTATATTAAAAATGGGTCGCGAAATGTACTGCAGAGCTATTAAAATAATATTATAATATTATGTTTATTTTAATAGCTCTGCAAGGAAAACAGAAGGTTAAACAATATACTTTATAGTTAAATGAATGCATTGCTAAGGAAAAAGTTTGTTTTTGGGTATAATTTTACCATTGAGGCGAAGAGTGAGGACAGAATGCAACTGACCTTTTAACCTTTCACGACCTTTTAATTACTAAAATCGAAAAAGACCCATTTTTATGTAAGGGCCTTTAAAATCATTGGTGACATCATTTTCTTGTTGGTTGAATAAAATAGGCTGTTTTTAAAATAGGTTTGAAAAAACCATCGGCAACGAAATATAAATTTATATCTAATATAAATACGGAAAGCTACTGTATAATGTCAAGCACGCCAAAATAGGAATAACGTGTTTCAATCTAACAAAACTGAAAATTATTTGTTTGAATATGGTGGTAAAAAGTTAGCTAAGCGGCCAAAGTCTATTTCCTTCCATTAGAATCACAAGAACTTCTTTAAAAATATTAGAAACAAAATCAAGCTTGGTGGGTTTTTTTTAGCTTTGGATACCGGTCCGATATTCCTGATCTAAGAACAAATGTAGGTTCCAGACTTATTTAACAAACTTAAGAGTTTATTGCCGACATATTATGAATAAGGCAGTGATTTTAAGTAGGAATATAGGCAGGATAATGACCCTAAACGCGTATAAGCCCTAATTAAATCGTTATAATATTTTAGAGTGGCCGATTAGTCCATGCTCCAAAATTTCTTTAGAACTTTTAAAGGGGTTCTTAAAAAATAATTCTGTATCCTTAAATCCGAATAAAGGAAAGAATTGTGGGAAAAATGTCAAAACATAGAGTGATGTGCCACTAATGACCAATTTTGTTACAATCTGAAAATTTAATTGCCTCATTAGTGCTCTGCGGGCTGAAAAACTATTACAATTTAAACAATTTAAAAATACTGTGTTTTAAAACTTAAGCATAAAGGTTCTATTAATTTTTCCAGGGGAAAATACCTAGTTTATTAAAATCTTGTTGTTCCTTAGTGTAAAAGATATCCTTAAATATTTTAGCAAATACATAAAACAAAGTGAAAAACTCGAAGTCATAGTTGGTTTTAAGTCCTTAGCAACGTTTTTAGAACTATTAGTTGTACATGTATTTTTTCAAAATAATATATTTTTGGCGGACGAGTCTGAGCCTCTGCTTTAATATTTTCTTTGGATGTGTATTGATAATTTCATACTTTCGTCGTCGACAAATTTCAAAAGTAGAATTAAAACTATGCTTTCCTTCTTATCCGTTACTTTGGAAGTTTAAATAATTCTTTAATTGTGTTGCTTGTATTGTTGTATTTTATTTAGAGCCCAGCGTGAGATCACCGAACAGTCGGAAGGCGAGTCTCTCCTTAAAACAACTCTCCAGTTGTACCGCCTCTGCGAACCTTTCCGATTCCAGTGCGTTGCCTGCAAGACGGAGCAGCTGATGGCCAGTGCCTATCGCCCGGGACCCAACAGCTCGCACATCTCTGTGCTTCAGCAATGCGCGAATTCCGAGTGCCAAACCGCACCGGTCCAGTACCTGGCCAGTATCCGTAATCAGCTACAACTTTCCATACGGCGGCACGTGCAGCGGTTCTACAAAAATTGGCTGGTCTGCGATCACCCCGATTGCAACTACAACACACGTACCCATACGCTGACGAAGGAGATGCGTCGCCCACTCTGCCACAAGTGCCGTAGTGGTAGCTTGTTACGGCAGTATACGGAGCGGGACTTGTACAATCAGCTCTGCTACCTGCGCTTCATCTTCGACCTCGGCAAACAGCAGTTACAGCAAAAACGTAAGTAAAAGTCTGGGAATCAGCATCACCGTCTGTCTGCACGTTTCTACGCAAACTTGTTTTTGTCATATAAAGTGCCCGAAGTAAGTATGTAGGACCCTACATTTTATTGGCTAACAAGAAAAGGGTTACATATTTTTCAAAAAAACAAATTTATATTTGTTCTTTATTCAATTAGTAACTATGTTCAAAAGATATAAAAAAAAAACTTCAAACATTATAAATAAGAAAAGAAGCTTACGTCGGCAAGCCGAAGTTTATGTACCCTTGAAGCTATTGCATAAAGTAAATATTTATTAAAAGATTTTAAACATATGCGTATATGTTTTAAAACATTGAAGCTGTGATGATTTTCGCCTCAATTATTCGATCGTTCGTATGGCAGCTATATGATATAAATTAAATTAAATGCGTAGATCTAAACTTTTTAACCATTACTACATATGTCCAAAAGAATTTAAAAAAAATTGAAAATTATAAAAGTAAACATTTTTTTATTTGTTTGTAATATTTCGATTGCTTTCCTGGGAACTTTATGATATACTCGTCCGATTCTTTAAGAGTTTAATGTTGGGTTCCATTGACATAAACCGTTTGAGAAAGGATGTCTTATAGATTTTCTATTGGATTCATGTCCGAACTGCGCGCTGGCCATTCCAAAATTGGGATTTGCGACGATAACAAATGACTCTTCAATGTTTTTAAACTTATACGCAAATAAATCATAATTTTAATGTTTTCAAGAACATTTAATTTTTGCAATTGCTGCAAGGGTATATGAACTTCGGCTTGCCTAAGTTTGCTTCCTTTCTTGTTTTTATTCATTTTGGATATTTTCGATTTCAAAATTTCCAACTACGCTTTTAGATTAACTGAAATCGGAAAACGATATCATAAAGCTGCAATAGGAATGTTCGAATAATTGAGCTGGAAATCGTTTTAGCAATTTTTTAATTGTATTTTATAATTTTATAATTTTATTTGTATTATTATTTCTAAAATTTAAAAAAGTCATGGGAACCAATAGCATACTGTTCTGATTAATAAATGTTGGAGATTGAGAAAATTTGTTGTAAAATTGTAACACATTACCAATCATTTAGGTTATTTTAAATATATGGGCACCGTAATAAAAAATTTCGCCCAACATTATATTTTCGTATTTTCTTAGCTATACTGCGAAATGGAAGTATTATTTAAAAGCACAATATTAATTCATGAAAGTGTGTAAATGGTTCATTGCAGACTATTAGATTGTATATAGGTTTGTCTTTTACATTTGTATATATATTTATACCCTCATATTAAAACAAGAAAGAAAGCAAACTTCGGCAAGCCGAAGTTCATATACCCTTGCAGCTATTGCAAGAATTAAACATTTTTGAAAACATTAAAATTATAATTTACTTGCGTATATGTTTAAAAACATTGAAGCTATGATGATTTGCAGCTCAATTATTTGATAGGTCTTTTATATATTTTTATTGTTCCTATGGGAGCTATATGATATAGTCGTCCGACTTTGATGAAACTTAAACCGTAAATTGGAAATATTTAACCATTACTAAATGTCGAAGAACTAAACAAAAAATTAAAAAACAGAAAAATTATAATTTTTTTTCATTTATTTCTCCGATTGTTCCTATTGAAGCTATATGATATAGTCGTCCGACTTTGATGAAATTTAAACCGTTAATCGAAAATATTTAACTATTACTAAATGTCGAAGAACTAAACAAAAAACTAAAAAACAGAAAAGTTATAATTTTTTTTCATTTATTTTAAACCGTAAATCGGAAATATTTAACCATTACTAAATGTCGAAGAACTAAACAAAAAATTAAAAAACAGCGAAGTTATAATTTATTTTCATTTATTTTTCCGATTGTTCCTATGGGAGCTATATGCTATAGTCGTCCGATTTTGATGAAATTTAAACCATAATTCTGAAATATTTAACCATTGCTATATGTCGAAGAACTAAACAAAAAATTAAAAAACAGCAAAGTTATAATTTTTTTTCATTTATTTTTCCGATTGTTCCTATGGGAGCTATATGCTATAGTCGTCCGATCCGGCTCGTTCCGACTTATATACTACCTGCAATAGAAAGACAACTTTTGGGAAAGTTTCATGCAGATAGCTTTAAAACTGAGAGACTAGTTTGCATATAAACGGACGGACAGACGGACAGACGGACGGACAGACGGACATGGCTAGATCGACTCGCCTAGTGATGCTGATCAAGAATATATATACTTTATAGGGTCGGAGATGTCTCCTTCACTGCGTTGCAAACTTCTGACTGAAATTATAATACCCTCTGCAAGGGTATAAAAATAAATTGAATTTGCTGAGTTGATTCAGAAATGTATGTATGTTTGTTTGTTTGTCCGCATTATCGTCGAGATCTAAAATCTTCAAATTCTGTGGCGCTAACATTGTTACTGGTAGAGACATGTAATTGTTCTTTTAAGTTTGAATTAAAAACCTGTATCGTCGCACTAAAGTGTCAACGATCACTTTTCTTGACCAAAACTAAAAACTTTGCTTAATTGAATAGAAATTAAGTATTATCGGGTAGCGTGTATTTCTTGTCGAAGAAGCATAATTTTCTGTTTAAAATTGGTTTTTAAAAATATTAATAAAAATATTTCCCATTTCAGCCACCCTAACGCCGGAGCTTGAGCAGGCCTACCAGCTCCTTTACGAAACAGTAGATCAACAACTTCAGAGCTCTTCCTATGTGATCATTTCGCTAAGAAAACTCTTTGGCCGGACCCTCGCCTTGATGTCCTTGCAACCGCCCAAACCAACGCCCCACAACGATTTGATCGCAAGTTCTTTGGCAGATGTCGTCTAAGGGTTTAATTAAACATCATTTGTTATAAGTTCCATTAAGAAAACAACAAAACATATGGACATTTCCAGGAAAAAGTCAACCAAGCCCCAAAAACTAAACGTTGAGAAAAATTTTGTTTTGTAAATACAATATTAAAGAAAAACTCAAATTTTATAAACGATTACATCAGAGTCCATTTCTTAAGGGTTATTTAAAATTTTTTCACAAAAAAAATGTATAAATGGTGTTTTATTTTTAAAGTCTGTCGCGTCCGAAATCAATTTTTGTAAGCCCTTGCAGTGGGTACTAAAATTTTGGTCAGAAGTGTGTAACGCAGGGGAGGAGACGTTTCCGACCCCATAAAGTATATATATATTCTTGATCAGGATCGATAGGGGAGTCGATATAGTCATGTCCGTCTGACTGTCTGTTTCAGTACTGTTCGCAAGCTCATTTTAAAATTTAGCGATCTGAAACTTTCATAGTCGTCCTAAAATATGTGTACGCAGATCTAGTTTGAAGAGCGCCCCGACTGGACGTCTATATCCTATAGCTTCCATAGGAACAAGCGGATATAACTTGCAAGAATTGCAGATATTTTGCGCAGTGTAAAAGCTATTGACATGCATCTTTTTAAATTGTATTTTTTATGCATACCTTGATCAGGGTAAAAGCGCGTGCTGATGGGACGTCTATATCCTATCGCTCCCATAGGAACAATAGGGTGAAATCGGTTAAAATTCAATGTTTTTCAGGATATTTTGCGCAGTATATAAGCTTTTGACATGAATCTTTTCAAAACTTAATTTTTATGCCTGTCTTTATCAGGGTAAAAGGGCGTACCGATCAGACGTCTATATACTATAGCTCCCATAGGAATAATAGGGTATAATCGGTCCAAATTTGATGTTTTTCAGGATTTTTCGCGCCGTTTAAAAGCTATTGACAACATTTTTCCAAGTCCTATTTATTTACCCATACCTTCATCAGGGTATAGGCGCTTGCTTTACTTTTTTTTGCAAAACTATAAGAAAACTTAAGAAACAGAATGGAATTTTTAAAAATATCTTTATATTTTCTGATAACAGCACCTCGCAATATAAAAATAAATGTATCGTCCGTAGCTTAATAGATTTTTTGTACTGTGGAGCGGTCGGTGGCGTTGGAGCTATAATTATAGTCCACTGGATTTGTTTAGATGCGCTCAAGACAACATTAACGGAAGTCAACTTATGTATGTTGGCGCCAATGAAATCGAAACAATTATACTGTTGCAGGAAAAAGGGGCAAATGTGGCCCGGGTTTCAGGAATACGATAAATAAAATACACATCTTGTAATAACAAAGTTGAAATTTATGTAGACCTTACAGCTCTAAATAAAAAAATTAATTTAGTACTATTTTCGTAATTAGCAATATACTACAAAAACTGACTTATTTATTGAAGAAAGGCGTTCAATATTTTAGCTAGTACGCTTGAACACAATTATGCATTTACTGAACGACGATTACCAAATTCCAACCACAAACTCATATGGGTGCCGTAGAAAAAGTCGGATATTGTCTGTAGAAATAATGTCGCAAAACTTAACAGGATCCATTTTTTTAAAACAAAATATATCTGAATCATTTCGGGGAAAAAATGTTCAATTATTTGTTTAGTAGCAATATTTCGAGCCCGAAATCTATAATCATTTTTAAAAACTTTTGAAAATTTTTCAATAAAACTTGCTTATATGAATGATAGCACCCCTCTAGGTATACTGAAAAAAGGATGTGCAAAAAATCCATCCAGATTCGCAGACTTTTGTGTTTTTATCATGTTGCTGTTGTATTATTGTCGCGTCTGAAATTCAGGTATTTTTTTTTATTCCATTTACGTGATATATTTAGCTAAGTTTTTTTTACCATTGGTAGAGATGATTAGGAGCTATTCTAAACAAAAGTAAAAAAAACTTATTTTTCACACTTGTTTTGAATGTTAAAGTTGTCAGGATGACGCGTACGAAACCCTGGAATTGCCCATATGTAAGGTGGTAGAAAGGGTCACGTGGAGAGAAACTTCTCGAGGGGAAAGTGTCGGAATGATTCGTTGAATATGTCTGTAAATGCTGAGCTGACCAACTCGTTTATCATCGGCTTGATAAAGGGCAGTCCCAGTTGCCACATGCTGTTGATAACTCCATCAGCCAGTTGGTTAAGTGGTTGTCCCTGCAGCAGGTTCTCAATGTGTAACTCCATTCCGCCGATGCGGTCCACCTCTACGTGCACCTTGATCAGCGAACCCGGATCCCCGATGCGTCGCACACTAGTGGTCTGACTGGGGAATGAGCAGAGTAGAGTAAAACAGCTTGTGAAATTATATATGCAACGCGCTGCTCACCTGTAATCGTAGAGGGTGAGGTTCCAGTGACCTTTTCGGTTCATCTCGGTGCCCAGCATTTTGGCGACGAACTCGTACTCCCCCTCAAGACTCTTCTCCGGGAAATACTGAGCGTAGACGATGCGCTGATCCTCGGGGTCGGCATAGAACTTGGTCACCTCGGATCGAGCCCATCCGAACTCGGAGACATTGCGCAAGATCAGTCGAAAGCTGCCCAGGCCTTGTGAATCACCGCGCCGCAGCTCAACAAAGCTACAGCGATGCGGGTCAAAGGGCTTAATGTTGTAGTCAGGCACACCTGAAAGAGTTTCCTCATTATTGCTCGCTCGTAATCCAAACCTCACTCACCCGTCGTAAAGTAGGCCCTTAAATCGTTAAGCACCTGCCGCATGCACTCGTTGAAATCCTCATTATCCTTCTTTTGGCAACGACTTAACATGTGCTTCAAATCCGCATCCACATCGATTTGACTGGAGCTGACGCACGCCAAATTAGTGGCAAAGAGCAAAATTACCGCCAGGGAGACCAGATTGTTGCCACAGTTTAAAAGCCACTGTTGCGACATGCTCACGGATTTAGTTTGACAGACTCTGACGGACGACAGCTAATAGAAAAAGTAAATTTAAGTAAGGTTTTTAATGTTTATATGACTTTGCTCGCGTCTTGTTTGTGTTTAGTTTTGAAGCAAATTGCCATTTTATGTGGGCGTATAAGCATCTGGTATTTGTTGTACGAATTGTCCTTGGATTTTAAATTAGTTCGCTTGATTGAAATGCAATACCTAAATGATTTAGGGAACCAATCCCAGTCGGTTTTATTTTATCAGTTTGACACTTAAAAAGATTAGATAAGTACAAATTATTATAATTTTACCAAAATTGTAATTAATCAGTGTTGCCAATTTACGGTCTTGGGAAGTAATTAACTATGCAAACTAAACTAATTGCATCATGATTTATGAAAATGTTTAAAACCGCTGTAGTTAACAGTAAATTATACTTTTAAACTGAAGCTTCATTTAACTATCTTGTTAACCAAATCGATGTTAAATTCTACCTATTTCTTGCAGCTACGTGATTATTTAACAATAGGAAGAAAAAACTTTATCCGAAGGCAATTTAAATAGTGCTTTTAGCTGAAATAACACTGCTTGGTTGTTAAGGACATTTTACAGGGAACGTAACAGTTATATGATTTATGTGAAAAAATAATTTTAAATGTTTTTTTTTTCTAATTTTTATTATTAAAATGCTAAAATATGTCAACTTATAAACTGTTACTCAAAAGTAATTTGAACTTTTAAAAGTCTTTTATAACTGTTAGAAAGATTTTTCAAATAGACTTTGTTATTTTTTAGAGAGTTTTTTTTAAGTGAAAATATATATATAAATCATTCAAAAACTTTTTTACTGACTTTTTAAAAACAAAAGTCATTAAAAGACTATTTATATATAAAAAATACTTTATCTGTCGATATCTTTAAAAGTGCGCAAGACAAAGCTACCAAATTTAAAATATATGTTCATATTACTTTATATTTTAAAAATGTTCAGCTTTTTTTTATTTTTTTGTAACTTATAATTTAATTATTTTCTGTCTCAATAGTTATATTATTAGAAACATAAAACAACAGATAAACTCCCTTTGGGAAGAGATATCTCCAGAGATTCTTAAAAAAAAAAGTTGATTCGGTAACAAGACGCCTTCAAAAAGTTATAGAAACTAGAGGCGGATCTACATTTTACTAATTTCCTCTCAATTAAATTTCTTTACTATGATGTATTTAAAAAATGTTTTCTTAGTTTTACATTTTTGTCAAAATACTTAAGCCATAATTACAGATTTCAATATTTTTATGTTTCAATTTTTGTATTAGTTATTTTTAAAATGGAAAAATAAAAAAAAGAATTAAAATTTTCTTTTGTCAAAGTACACATGCCGACTAGTGTACACAATGCACACTTTGGATTCATTGACTATATTAGAACACTTGTCATCTATCGAAGACTTTTCACCGAGTATTGACCAAAACCAATATTACTTTTCAAACAACTTTTTCTTCATGTAATTTGTTTTGTAATCTTTTTATGTTTGCGGACTGCACTTGACCTCTTTAATGTAACCACACAGATTACAGCAGGTCTCTGTACTGCAGAAAAAGAAAACTTCGACCATGACAATAAAGCACATTAGTGTGTTTTTTACTACAATGGTAAACGAAAGACTTGGACAAGACACAAACTTGGGGGTGCGAACAACTTTTATTTCCACTTATGCCAGTCGCTCATGCAACACGAAAGCAACCACTTATGATAATATTTGGCAATTCTTCAGTTTTGCAGTTGCAATTGCAGTGGCAACGTTGACCAATGGTCAGTTATTGAACAACAAGTTAGCTACTTCGTTTATTTTACTCAGGTTACCTAAAATAATTTATACTATGCTACTTATGTAGATTTTTCGTTGTTTTAGTGTTGTCAATTATTAAATTTTGGAACGCTAAACTTTTTTGTATGCAAAGGCGCACAAAGTCTTGACATTAAAAATAACTTTACAGTTAGCTGAGCCGAATACGCGACGTGATCATGTCGAACTACCGAAGTTGACTGAACCACTCCAAGACGGGACAATGACGTACAACCCAAACCCGAAAAGAGCTTCCACTAAAAGTGGCAAAAGCAGCTAGTTAAAGCCAAAACAAAGTCACAAAATAGCGGGTTTGGAGTTTGCCACCCTCTAGTCGCATTTCCTCATATTTACCCTAAAAAAATTATTTAAAACAAACCACACAAACGTGAATCATTTATACAACGAATACTAAAACCACGTTTTTTTTTACTGCCAATGAACCAAGCTAGACATATTTATCCGCCATTTGTAACGGATAAGAAAACTATAAAATGAAATTGCTTAAAATGCATATTATAATTGTAAAAACTAATAAGCTTGAAACTGTAATAATGACTTAAATCTCACTGAAATTATCAGTTACAAGAAAGGAAGAAAATTTATCAACCCGAAGTTTATATACATAGCTTTGGAGCTTTGCAAATATGTAATATACCTTAAAATAATTTAAATAAATCGGCTCCCCTAGTGCTGCTGATCAAGAATATTTATACTTTATAGGGTCGGAAGTGAATGGTTTTAACCCTCTTCAAAGTAACAATGAATTTTACGATCAAGAAATTAAATGTTATTTATAACAAATCATCGCTGGCCAAAAGTGATCTGAATTTAATTAGGCAAGCCCATGTCCGTCTATGTTTTTTTTAAAGTACCAAATCAAGTACTCACAACCAGATCTCAAGTTCATGAAACTGAATAATATTAGCTTCGCGATTGACAACAGAGCGTGCTTAAAATGTTACGATTGCAAGAAAAGCAGACGATGACAGCGAGAAAATGATTATGTGGACTGCTTTTTGCCAAATGGATCTCACAAGGTTGCAGAGCCTCAGATGTTATAACTGCTTTCAATTAAAGCAAAGGACAAGGTCAGCTTTTACAGAAATTCAAAACGGGCTGAGAAGATAATCCAGAAATTTGTAAGTTTTGAATTGCGATAATAAGAGTTTGTTAGCCGAATATTTTTATTTTAATATATTTCAATTACTTAGTTTTTTAAATTAATTTTATTCATTAATTAATTATAACAATATAAACTGCTTTCATTTATGACATTCTCATCATTAAATTCCAAATAGTAGTTCAAAAGCACTTTATACTTAAATGAAACTTTTAGTTATTTCAAAGAAAATAATTGGAAAATTTATTTACAAAAATGTTAATGTTTATATAATTATTTGTTTAACAAAAATTTAATTTAAACGTATTTCTCTTATTAGAGTTTAGTATTTTTTTTTGTAAATGCCGCGAGTAAGTATTTTTCGCCTGCCCATCAAGGGTCACACTGTACGGTAGCTGGTTTGTTTATAGTTATTTAGCGGCTAGCTTTACTTTTATTTTAGTTATAAATAAATAATAATGGAGGTGGAGTTCAGCAAGGAAAACTTTCTGCTGCCGGAGGTGAAGTACGAGTGTGAGTAGATCTTAAATCTGTATAGGAAACACCCTGTTGATAGGTTTTTTGTTTGTTATATTGCAGACTTGGATCACACGGCGGATGTGCAGTGAGTAAGACAACGATGACGGCGCTCAGTGACCATGTGGAGTAGGGTGGACCGATATCTAAAAATATAAAATCTAGAAGATTGTACAAGCAGTATTCTTTTAAAATTGAGCTCGTAATAAGCAGACACCGTAAAATACTTAATTAACCAAAACACAATCTCTGGATTAAAATTTATTCTCAAGGCAATTTGATGTTTCTAACAAGAAATTATAAAGACAAACGTGTAGATTTAAATAGACTAAGCACCATTGTGCATGAAATTTGTAACTTATAGAATGTTTTCTACAACTATTTCGGAGCCTCAAAACAGAGTATTTCAGGAGTACATTGGAGTGAGTACCTTAGGTCAGAAGATTAAACGTTGTGACATTGTTCGAGTCCCGATATCACAAATACGCTTTGAAAACGAAAACTAAATATACAGGTTTGCTTCTAACATTATTTTTTACGAATAAGTCCGATTTTTTTATAGATCTCATTTTGTTGCCCTGTGCCATAAATTATTTTTTTTTTTTATCAAAATTTAACTTAATAGTACGTCATGGCGTCTGTCGTAAATTTTTTACCAATCTCTTTTCATATTCTTGTATAGGTATATCAAATTTATTTGAAAAATAAATGCAAGAATTTGATGATTTTTATTTCTTTCCGCTTAAAACAAAACTTATCAGTTCGTCACAACATCTGTATTCAAAATTTCCCTGATGTTACATCTATATACTTTGGGTCGGTGTTGAAATTTGTAAGACAAAAATCAAACCAATTTTAAATATGCAATCGAATTGTGAATATGTATGCATTAAACATAGGTTTATTTAATTAAATAAATTGTCTTTGCCCATAACACAGGCTTACAAATTTACATCACCAAAAAGCCTACAGAGGTCAAACGTGGATTTTTTGTTGTTTTTGGACGTTTTTACCACCATTGTACTATGTTTTTAAAGTGTTTTTCAACTGACTGTCCTACTTTTTATTTCCATTTCTGGCTTAACCGATTTTGGTCATTGATAGCTTATTTTTCTTAAAAGTCTGAAAATGAAGCTAGAACTGATTTTCCGACAACATAAATTAATTTTTAACAAATAAACGCCTAAAAAACCAAAAATATTTTGATCGCTTTATCTTAAATACGGAACAACAAACGGTTTTATAAAGATTTTTTTGTCTGCGAAAAAGGGTATTTTTAGACTGTTACCCTAGTTGTCTTCTTGTCTTACAGCAGCTAAAAGTCCAAAAATCCCCCTTTGATAAATATTATGTTTATAGTTTTTGATCAAAATTCAGATAAATTTTATAAATTTGGTTAAATCCAAATCCATTTCTTGACTGCAAGGGTATTTAAGGGGCAGAATGGTTTCCAAGGCTGTAAAAAACAGCCAGAAATTTTCACAGGACATTCCTGAGATGTTGTACTTTTATATAAAATATTATAAGAAAAATGTTGTTTTAAAGTTTCAAACCATCCTGCTTTCTTAAAACTTTAGTTTGCTAAAGTTAGTTTCCATTTTCGTTTTACCCCTACTGAGGCTATTAAGAAGACATCTCCGACCCTATAAAGTATATATATTCTTGATCAGCATCACTATGAGTCGATCTAGTCATATCCGATTGTCCGTCTATGCGTCCGTTTCAACGCAAACAAGTAAATATATCTGCACGAAACTTTCCGAAACTGACACATAGCCCCAAAGGAACAATCGGACAAAAAAAGGACACAAAATTAACACTTTGCTGTTTTTAATATATATCATAAAGCTCCATGGAAACAATCAGAATAGGAAAAAAATAAATGAAGCAAAAATTTTAAGTTCACTAATTTTCACTTTATTTTTGTATTTCTTTTTAATAAAGATATGGTTTAATACTTCATTATTGCACCTTTAATTCTATTAAGCTCGGAAAGCGATATCTTATAGCTTCCAAAAGAGCGATCTAATAATTGAGCTTAAAATCATCAGAGCTTCACTGTTTTTAAATCGAAATTTTTGCTATAGCTGCAAAAGGTATACAAACTTAGGCTTGCAGAAGTGTAAAAACAGATAGTTTTAAAACTGAGCGCCTTGTTTTCGTATAACACGGATGGACGGACTAACACGTCTAGTTCGACTCCTTCACTGCGCTGCAAAATTCTGACAAAAATTATAATATCCTATATAATATAATATCAAAAATAAAAAAAACATTTATTTATTTCATTTAACAGAATCCATGGATGGGGTACAAGCCTGAAAGAGGCGTTCGAACAGTGCGGAGTGGCCATGTTTGGATATATGACCGAACTGGATTACGTGTCCGTAGAACACTGCTTCGAAATCCAAGCGCAGGGCGACGATCTAGAAGGACTACTTTTCCATTTTCTCGACGAGCTGCTGTTCCTCTTCTCCGCCGAACCATATCTGGTATGCAAAAAACTGGAGATTACCAAGTTCGACTTGGAAACCTTCGAGATCTCCTGCCGTTGTTACGGAGAACCCTTCGAGTTGGGAAAACATCCACAAGGCACCGAGGTCAAGGCAATCACATACTCGGCGATGCAAATCGTTCAGAACACTGATGCCAGCAACTACGAGGTGTTTGTTATAATTGATATTTGATTCAGCTCCGATCTGAAATAAATATTACTGTTCCGTTTCAACCCCTTTGTTTGTCTCAATTAATCATAAGTGAAATGCCAAGAAAATGATATTAATGCCGCTGTTCCGAAAAATTTGCAATCTCTCGTGCTGTGTATGCATCCCCTGACGATGAGGATGGCTTATCAAAAAACCACTCGATTGTGCGGCTGCAAATGCAATTAGGACTGGCTCCGTTCTCACCGCTCTGATTAAGGATTTACCCTTTAGCGTCTACATTTGTTGTGCACTATTTTTTTTTTTTTTTTTTTTTTTTTGCGGACAGCTTTGTGAATTGGCAGGGTTTTAAATTCCCAGACAACCGCCAAAATTTCTGTCCTTTCCCAGACCGCAGTTCGTTGCAATTATTTTTTTTTACAGCCTTCAGCATTTTTTATAGCGTTAATGAGCGATTCGGGGCAATAACTAGCCATCCCAGATTTGTAAACCCTTGCAGAAGGTATAATACATTTTTTTCTTGACTTAGGGTCGTGATGTCAAACACCAAGGTTTAAAAACCGCATTTTTGTGACCTTCACTTGGTGACGTGGATTGGGGATATTTATGATATTCTTTTATATAAATATAAATTTGGGGAGCCCCATTTCAGTCAAGGAACACAAATATTTTCTGGCTTTGTTACGCTAGGGGCAGAGTTTTTTTCCGACCCTATTAATTATATATATTCTTGGTCATTATTTGCATAATACCCTGTTTAAAAGAAAGAGATCAAAAGTTTTGATCGAAATGAATTGACCATATCCTATAACTACCACATATACTTCTCGAACTGCCCATACTATATGCCTATTTTTTTTGCAGTATAACATATTAGGCAATTGCTTATGGAATATTTTTTAATAAATATTTAGTTTTAAAGTTAAGTTATCTGATAACTTATTCTTATCCAGATAAGGATTGATCCATTGGTGAATAAATAAATATATATATAGATTCTTGAATCTTTTCAAATCGTATATCCTCATTTGTTAAAAAATCAAATCAATCAAAAAGCGTACACAATCGTGTATGTAGTGACGATATTAGGAGTTTTTGGAGTTGAAGGTGCGTTTGTCAAATGATTTTACCTCGAAAAGATGTGGGTTTGTTTGATATTCTATAGCTGTCATAATAACAAGCAGGTAAAATTTGATAAATTAATTTTTTTTTTTTTCGTATATATTATTATATTATATATTTTTGCCCTATATAATGGTTTTTTAAGATTTTCACCTAGATTTTGTTATTGTAAAATGAATTCTACCTTCTTTCTATCTTTCAGATGTGTCTAACAAGATAAGAAGATATTGCCGATAAAAAGGTATTGGTTATGGTTTGGTGATGATTTGCTTTACTGATAAATCTCTTTGACATGCCCATGTTAAATTGATCACTATTTTGTATAGAAAATCATAACCTTTTCATCAGTAGGATTATTTTTATACCTGTTACTCGTAGAGTAAAAGGGTATAATGTATTCGTTGAAAAGTATATAACAGGTGGAATTTGGACTTGGCATGCAGATTCTAACAGTCCCTATTCAGAGCCAGTTTATTTAAAAACGGAGCCACTCCCACTATCTCAGTTTTAAAGATATGTGCATGAAGTTTTCCAAAAGTTGTCTTTCCTTTGCAGGTAGTAAATAGGTCGGAACGTATAGCTCCCATTGGAACATTCGGCAAAAAAAGTATAACTTTGCTGTTTCTTAATATGTTTTTTAGTTCTTCGACATTTAATAATGGTTAAATATTTCAGAATTACGTTTAAGTTTCATCAACCATAGAAACAATAAAAATATCAAATAAATATTGTAAATGTGACTTTCCTATTTTGATTTTTTTTTTAATTCTTTTTGAGTTATTAATAATTTGACAGTTTGACTTTAAATTCTATTGAATCGGAAAACGATATTGTAGAGCTGTCATAGGAACTATCGAATAATTGAGCTGCAAATCATCATAGCTTCATTGCTTTTAAGCATATACACCAATAAATCATAATTTTAATGTTTTCAAGAATATAAAATATTTGAAATAGCTGCAAGGGTATATGAACTTTGTTTTGCCGAAGCTTGCTTCCTTTCTTGTTTTGCATGTATTTGAAGATGACTTTCATGTTGCTACCAGTGTTGCATTCTCAGTTTTAGTAGAAAATACGCTGTTTTTTTTAAAATGCAACTTACAAGTTCAGCGGCCCCTGGGTTGCTGAACTACTGAAATTTCAGACTGTTAAATTTGTATGGGACTGCTGTCAAACAGGTGACAAAAACTCAGCAACGTGGGGATTCAGTTAATTGGGGAATACGCAAACTATCTATATTTAACAACAAACATTCCAGACATTTCAAACTACGCGCAAATGGTATAAAGCGGTATTTTTATGTATGACTTTTTTGTGGCCCGGGATTATTTAGTGGGTCTTTAGCAACACCAGCTGGCAGCGCCAAGCGATTTGTTTTGAAACAGCTGATACCCGATATCATAACGTGAACAACAAAAATAAACGTTTGCCGGGCTAGACCAACCATATGGGATTTCTCTGGAACAGCGGGCAAAGGCAAATTGGAAATTATTCACAATAGGCGTGTATGTTTTAACAGCTGATTGATATTGAAAAGCAACGCTGCGATACGAAAGAGTGTGTAAAAGAACAAACAAAGTATGAACGGCAAATCGCACACACACAAGCAGCCAGTTGCTCATTTCGCCTTTGGCTTTTGAAGTGCGTTGAAATAAAATTGGCCTGTAAGCCTGAAAAACGTATGTGTGCCTTTAACACAAATCATTTCTTGTGATAATATTGAACACGAAGTGGGTGGAAAAACGTCATCGAGTGCCGCATTTCGCCTCCTGTTTGTTGTTGTGTTTGCTGTTGCTTTTCAATTCGCCACTTCGCCTCGCCTCTCTCTAGCTCGCCTGGCACTCGCCGCACCGCTCATTCTGCAGCCACCAATTGTCATGGTGTTAAAAGAAGAGGAAGCAGCAGTCCGAGAGCACATTGTGCGCTAGTTGTTGCCGTTTTACACCCAAAAATTGGGCAGATATCGCCCTGAAAGCCCTACCAATCGAAAGGTAACGTTGTTACCTGTAACTTCCGATCGAAAACATATAACTAGCGCAAGGGGAACCCAGTGAAAAACGTGGCGGAAATTCATGCGAAGACGAAACCGAAAAATGTGGTAGGTAGTACTAGAAGTAGAGAATGTGACATGTGCGAGTGTGGTGTGCGGGGTGCCGCGCTGGGCATTTTCTTTATAAAGGGGAGACCAAAAAAAACCCAACGTTTTTTGGGCGTGCGCCTCCAACTGCCGGCAAAAAATATATATGTAAAACCACTAATAAGCTGACGCAGTAGCTGCAGCAAGAACAAGACTGATAACAGGCGGTATGTGGTAAAGCATCTTGGCAAAAAAGGAGAGCTCATGATAATGCGCACTTTATATAATTGCAGTTACCTGTAAGCCAATCCCAATAGTGTTCGTTTCTTTCTGTGTTTGTTGTGTTGTGGGTGAGCGGCTAACGGCATACGCATTCCTGGCAGAATCCAATTCATAGGATTTCTGCGATGACGTCACTACAATTTCATTGCAATCATTTCAATTTGATGTATCCTAAATGTAAGTTCGGGCGATAGCTTCCTCGATCAGTGGCCACTGGCAAAGCAAGACACTGGAAACACACGAAGTTAACAAATTAAGCCTTTGGTTTTTTTTTTTTGTCAATAATAAAATAATTTATTTCGAAAAGATGTTGATGTTCCGATGCCAAATGTGTGAATGGACCTTAACGTTGGAAATTGGCGGTATTGGGCATTTTTTAACCATATGAACTAGCATACGAATTGTTGTTTTCGAAATTGTCCTAAACCATGGCCTAGTGGCCGGTACACTTTCTAAGACAATACCTGTATGGGACATGAGGTAGTCCCATTTCACAGTTAACTCTCTGCTAAAAATCATTGAAATTGATTAAAATTAAATATTTAAAATACATATTTAAGCAAAGTTCTAAAATGTAGGAAATGTTTTTAAACAATCAGTATATACGCAACTCATATATTTAAAAATATTGAAGCTATGAAGATTTGCACTTCAATTATTCGATTCGTTTTATTATTCCGATTTCAATAAAATTAAATGCGTAAAACTTTTGTTCAAAAGAATTAAACAAAATTAAAAGCGTAATTCTAAATTATAAAACCATTCAAAAAAAATTTTAAAAAAATAAATAATAGAGAAGTTCCAATTTTTTATGATATATTCGTCCTTTTTTTTATCAAATTTAAACCGAAATTTTGAAATAAAAAACCCTTTCCATATCTCGAAGAACAAAAAAATAAAAAAAAACAGCAAAGTTGTAATTTCTTTTCCTTTTTCCTGATTGTTCCTATGGAAGCAATATGCAATAGTTTTTCCAACTCATATACTACCTGCAACAGAAAGACAACTTTCGGGAAAGATTCATGCAGATAGCTTAAAAACTGAGGGACTAGTTTGCGCAGAATCGGACGTACGGACAGACGGACATAGCTAGTTCGACTTTCTCTCTTAAATCAAATCATTTTATTTTATTAAATGTAACGAACATTAATACATTTTTCCCAGACTGATCTTGAGCTTGAACACAGAACGCACGCATTATTTTCCTCGGTTTTGGCTCGTCGGCTATTGAGGTGATGATCTTGCTCTGCAATTCAGGACGGCCTTAGTAATTAATACAAAATTACAAGATAAAAAAAACCACAGAGAACACTTCTACAATTAAGCTATTTTGTTGGCCAAGAGAGGCCACGCACTGTTGTTATTAAGGCTTGCCTCGCCCACCCTTCCATTGGCCGTTCCCATTTCCCTACGACTTCGAACTTCCTTATAAAAAGAATTTACATTTCGCCCTGATGACCTGTTGCTTTTACTAACTAGTATAGCCACCTCCCCCTAAATGGCGCTCTGAAGGATTCTGATTGCCCTATACTACCAGCGCTACAGAAGCCACATTATTAGAAATACCACGCCTTAGAATCGAAA